TTGTTATTATTATTATTTTTAAAAATACTATATTCTTATTTTGTGTGTATGAGTGTATTGCATGTGTGTAAGTGCACTCTGTCATGCAATGCCCACGGAGGTCAAAAGAAGGCATCAGATCCCTGGAACTGGAGTTACAGACAGTTGTTAGCTGCCATGTGGATGCTGGGAATCAAACTCAGGTCCTCTGCGAGAGTAGTCAGTGCTCTTAACCACTGAGCCATTTATCTCTCTAGGCCTTACTATTTTTATTTTATGTGTATGAGTATGTTGCTTGCATGTATGTAAGTGCTCCCATGCTGTGCAGTGCCCACAGACGTCAGAAGAAGGTGTTGGATCCCCTTGGAACTGGAGTTACAGATGGTGTTAGTCATTATGTGGGTTCTGAAAATCAAGCCTAGGTGCTCTGCAAGAACAGCCAGTGCTCTTAAACAGTGTGCCATCTCTCCAGCCCCAACAATGATGTTTCAAGGTAGATGGGAGAAAGAAGATTTTGTGACTATCATCGGTGCCTGGCTTCTGAGATTTAATGCACATGAATTGAAGTATGGAAAAAATCTCCCAGGGCCTGCTGGTCAGTGCTGGTCCTTCTATGTAAAACATTGAGTGCACTGAGGATGTCGTTATCATACATTAACGAAGACATATAGAACTTTAATCTTTTTTTTTTGTCTTTTTTTTTTTGTTTTTTCGAGACAGGGTCTCCTTGTAGCCCTAGCTGTCCTGGAACTCACTATGTAGACCAGGCTGGCCTCAAACTCACAAAGATCCACCTGCCTCTGCCTCCCAAGTGCTGGGATTAAAGGCGTGTACCACCATGCCCGGCAGAACTTTAATCTTTAAAGACTGATGAAACTGAATTCTTTTTGTATGTAATAGAGTAGGTATAAGGATTATATCATGAATGAATGCTTCCAAGGAGCTGTAGTGTTACCAACCAATACAAAATTTAAAATACCAGCATAATACAATTTTTTTGCTTTGTTTTAGGAAATATACTGTGTTTCATAATAGGCAGCATTTATTACACTTTTTACCGTGTTGTAGTGATTTGTATAATACTTACAAATAAGATAGACACTAATATTTTCTGCATTATACAGCTGAAGAAACAAGCACAGAGATGCAGTGTTGCTCGCCCAGAGTCATATAGCTAGTAAATAACCGTGACGGTTTTCAAAACCCAGGTGGTCTAGTTAGAACTTCACTTACTACTCATTGAACTCACACTCATTCCTGTTTCTGTAATGTGCAACTGGAACGGCTAAGAATCTATACAGATTACAAACTAAACTGAGACATGAAGATGCCCAAGAATTCTTTTTTATTTTCTCGTTTCACTAAAGGTTGTTCAAAACATTCTTTAAGCCAGCGTGGGTGTGTAGGTGCTATTAAGGATGTTAATTCAGTGAAATACAGTCAGTACCAAAAAAGAGACATTACATTTATAAAACAGTAAAATTAAAAACCAATAACAAAAATGATTAGAAAAAACTTAGAAGCTAAAATAAACCATTACTATAAGTAACTCCTCATCAGAGAATGAGTTGGAATAATTACTAATAATTTCAAAAGTGACAGCAGTGGCAGCACTGGAGTATTTAGAGTTGTCCTGGAGAAAATTCATAGCCTTTAAGAGAAACAAAATACACAGAACATTTATCTTCAGTAGCTAGAAAACCATGATTACAAATAAATCTAACAAAACTTGGGGGAAGCTAATAAAAGTAGAGAAAATATGAAACAAATAGAAGCAATAAATCCAAAAGCTGGTCCTCTGAGGAAGACACTGTAGATCAGTTTCTGGCAAGGCTGCTTGAGGAGGGAGCATGCGTGCGAGTGGAGGACCAGCACTGCAGTCCAGAGGGAACCTAAACAAAACCAGTAAAAACCTCCAGAAAAACAAAAAGAGCTAAAATGGGCTCTTCTGTCCTCATATTTCCCCCAGGCAGATCTTAGGAGGCTCATGGCTTCAACAGACAACCTGTATGCCAGAGACTTTCGTGCCAGCAAGTGGCACAGACCTGTGAACTCCAGAGCTGGCACTACACTTGGCCTTCTTCACTCGCCTCTCCACAAGATGCCTCAAACTTTAAAGGAAGATGTCACACATTTGATTTCCCTCCCTGACCCACAAACCAGTCCTTTTAGTCATTCTCCTTTTAGTGAGTGACATAACCAGTACTCATAGTTTCTTATGCTAAAAACCCTGGAGTTCTTGACACTTGCCTTCTCCCATTTCCACCTGCAGCATGGCATCTGGCTTCGGCTTGAGAACACATCCCAACGTCTTTGCCCTCTGGGGCTTTGCTCCTCCACCCTCAGCCATTGGCTGCTCTTTGGTCCCCAGCTTCTTTCTTGCCCCTTTCTGACCATTCCTAGTCTATAATGTGCTTAGCTATTAGTGTCTTCCAGTCTTCTTTCTCTGTCCCCTCTTTTGAAACCCCAATTAGACATAAGCTAGACTTATGGACGGTTTCAGGTCTTGTCCCCACATCTAGGAGCTTTTCAACTTTCCTGTCGCATCTGAACCTCTCTTGCTGCTTCCTGCTGAGTCTCTTCGCACCTCTTGGCCTGATGCTCACCTTCCTCTTCAGCAACTCAGGTAGCCTGGTTGGGAACTCAGAATTCTCCCCAGAGCCCTTCCTCAATGCAGTTCTCCTCGTTTTCTGGAAGTCCTAGGGCATAGGGCTGCCCCGGGCTCTTCCCCTGCTTTCCTTTCTGTCCCCTCACCTTTTCTCAGTTTTCCTCAGCTTCACCTGCTAATCTGGAGCTTTTCATTTCTGCTTTTGTGATTATAGTTTGTTCTAAGGTGTCTTTGTCCTTTTAAGGACAGGCCACAGCTCTGGGGCAGTTACCATGGTACCTCAGCACCCAGTCCACTTTGTGTTGCAAAGTAGGCATGAGGGAAGCAGCAGAAGTGGGGCAGAACTGTGGCAGCCAGAGCAGCCAACAATGGAAAGGCCATAAAATGGCCAGCCCTGGGCTCAAATGCTTAGACAGTAAGTGCCTTCTACCTTTCAGGAAGACAGGACTCTGGTATTGTTAGACCTAGAACTACAAGAACAAGGGGAAACCTCCCAATTTTACTTTAGTGGGAAATCCTCACGGACCCTCACTTTCCTTCCTGGGATTGTGTCCTCAGCTGACTGGGCAAGTCTCAACCAGAGCTCTGAATTCAGATATGCTTAGGAACCATGCTAACTCTCAGCATTGGCTGTTTATGATGTTTAAAAGTACAAGTATGTAAAAGATTCCTCCCAGAAAAGGGCCTTAGGATCTAGCTCTGCCCATACTATCTATCTATCTATCTATCTATCTATCTATCTATCTATCTATCTATCTATATTTATTATTTATTTATATCTTTTTGAGATAGGGTCTCCCTGTAGTTCCAGCCCCAGCTGACCTGGAATTCAGTATGTAGACCAGGCTGGCCTTGAACTCACAGAGATCTGCCTACCTACCTTTGTCTCCCAAGTGCTGGGACTAAAGGCGTGCATCACCATGCCCAGCAATTTATATTTCTTTAAGCATAATCCTGGAAGATTGCTTCTTGGGACAATGGGAAAACACTCCTACAGAGAACAGAGAAAAGGAACAGCGTATTATATGTATTTTAGGAATTGAAGAATGATTGAATATTGGAAAATTTATTAAAACTCCTTATGGGTCCATAATGGATGTTAATAAAAACTTTAGTAACATTTTTCTAAAAGAATACTCAGTATAAGATGGCAATCATATTTGAAACTAGTGGGTAATGGAAGAATTATGTAAGAAAAATTTAGATCTTTATTTAGAAAACAGATTCCTGATTTATATCAAGTTATTTCAGTTGAATTAAATACTGACATGTAGAAAGTTACAAAAGTGCTAGAAAAAAAGCATACATAAAAGTAGGGAAGATTTTAAAAGCAGATACTGCAAGTAAAAAGATCAATAGATTTTACTATTGATGCATTTGTGTGTCAAAAACACTGAAACTATGGGCTAGAGAGATGGCTCAGCAGTTCCCAACACCCACCATCTGTAGTTCCAGGGGATCTGATACCCTCTTCTGTCCTCCTCGGGCATTGCACAACATGGGTCCACTTACAGCCATGCAGACAATACACTTATACACATAAAATAAAAATAATAAATAATAAATTAAGACATTGAAACTAGACAGAAAGTGAGTCTAGTGGAATGTTTACAACAAAGTTTCCATGAGAAAGTCTGATATCCCTGATTCATAAAGAATCAAAGAGAGGATCCCAATGGAGCCGTAGGTGAGCGATGGGGTAGGAGCAGCTGCAAAGCAACAAAGGAAATACATATAGCCAGTTAATCCCTAAGGAGCTTTAGCCTCCCCAGGAACCAATGTGTACCACATGCACATTGGACTTGGCCATACACATGGGAGAGCCTCATTCACTCCAGCAGAGATGAGGACAGCGAATCCGCAACTGCCTTTTCTAACACACCCCACAGTTCTTCATAGGAACTGTGTCTTTTTCCTAAGGAAACTTATTTATTTACTTACAGAAAATATAAAACTTTTGTAAAAGACATCATGTAGTAGCCATGTTCCTTTACCAAACACTCCAGAGCCGTCTCATTTTATTTGTCTATACCCTGCTATTCCCTGGCTTCCTTCAATTCATTTAATTCTAATCATTGGGAATTTAACAGTTATTAAACAGAAATCTAAAGTAAAATAAGTCCCTTCCTACTTACTGCTCTAGGGGAAAAATTTTTTCATAACTAGTAAATTTAGTATTTATCCTTCTGTATGTCTTTATGCAAATGAATGCAAGAGCACATAGACAGCTTTAATGTCATACTGTTTTACCATTTGTTTTTCACCCCATCAAGTTTTTGGCTTCACCTTTTGCAAATAGTGTATGTAGATGAATCTGATTCATTCTAATACAGCACAGTATTAAGTATGCATGGTCTGTAATTCAGCATTTTCTAATTGATGCATGTGCTATTTAAGGTATTTGCTATTGGAAACAGCGTTGGAATATAAATCCTCATGGAGAGTGAATAACTGCAGTCTGTACTTTTGTCTCTTTGATTGGACTTACAAAGTTGTTGTGTGGCCTCCATTGACGTTTGTTAAATAGGTGTGTTCCACCCATACAGCACGATGCTAAGCCACATTCCACGTACTGAGGCAACAAAGTGTACTTAATACTGATGTGTACTAAAAGATGGTTAAGGGGATTAGAGACATGACTCAGCGATTAAGAGCAGTGGCTGCTCTTGCAGAGAATCCAAGTTTGGTTCCCAACACCCACAATAGATGGTTCAAAACAACCTGTAACTCTGACTCCAGAGGATCCAACACCCTCTGGCCTCCATGAGCACTGCACTTACATATACAAACACATACTCAGACATGTAAAGTATGCTCCTACTATGGGTTTAATGACCTGTTTGTGCCCTCAGAACAAGGCTGATGGTGGTTTGCCTGTCTTCTCTGGACTTCTTCTACTCAGTATCTAGGATTAGAAGCCATTTAGAATGGACCAGAATGTTAGAATACACGATTTTATCACCTAGTAGAAAGATATGATTGATTGTCAAGATCTTTGCTTTGCTTATCTGCCTTTACATTTTTTTCTGCAATTTATTACGCATTACTTGCATAACATTAAAGAAAGGAAGACAAAAGAGCAAAATCAACAGTGGAGTGGAAAGTGCCCTGTAACTAAATGGGTACCAGCCAGAGGTTCTGTCACCAAGGCTGTCTGTCATCTCTTTGCTGCTCTGTGAACACCAGCACATCCTGCCTGAGCCTCTATTCCCACCTCTGTCATAGAGGTATCTCCTGCACAGTTACATTTGAGAGTAGAAATAACTTTGAAGTGGATTGTAAAGTGGGAAGAAACTGTTAGTCATCTGCCCACTTATGTTGATGCCTAAGGGCTTGGGATCTGGGTATCTTTCCATGAGTTCTCCATGTGTCTCCTGTCCCCTCTTATGTACTTTGAAAAGGTGGGTGTTGCCTAAAATAGTTTTAACAAATAGGTTTGAGGCTCTTTTGGATATTGCAGTTTTCATTTTGAAACAAGTAGTTTTTAATATTCTTCATTGCAAAGAATTGAAGTCAACTTGAGTTCCATGCATGTTTTCCACCTTAACCCAGTGCTGTCAAAGTCTTTGATGGGTTACTAGTTCATCATAATGCCTTGGCAGGCAGCCCATCCTCAGCCAAGTTCTGGTCTGTCACACATAAACGATAAGGAAGTGCCTTTGCCCAGATGTTGACGAAGCTAATCATTCTATCTCAGCAACTGGAAATGTACCAGGAATAAGTAAGCTTAGCTTTGAGGACACACTTTTCCCACCAACTTCACCTAAGGTTGTGAGTGAGAATCACTCCAAACAGGATTAAATGCCTTGCTAGTTGATGATATGCCTATATTATTTTGGTGATGAATGAAATCCACCAGAATGAGAAACAGCCTCATACTTGCCAGCAACTTGGGCCTTCAGGCTGATGAGCATGTGTCAGGGACCTGCTGCCAGAAACTCTGGGCTGAGGAACTGCTGTAGTTTTCTTAGGTATCCCTGACGCTATGACAAATGTGGAAGCTGCAGTAGTTAAGTCTCAGGCTATAGAGCTAGACCCTTGACCCCACCACCCTGTAGATCTAGCTACATGACCTTGAACTGCTGGCTTGGTGCCTGTAAAAAGAGTGTGATCCTAGAAGCTACCCCACAAGCTGAGATGATGCCACACAAACCCTCAAAGTATTAGTGCTGAATTCTGTTTTGTGTGCTTTTCTTAAATACTGTTTCACCCCCTCAAAGTGATTTATACTTAATATAAATCAGAAAAGTGGGGGCTAAAGAGCCAGCTCAGCAGTTAAGAGCACTGATTGCTCTTGCTGGGAGCCCAGATTCAGTTCCCAGCACCCATATGGCAGCTAACAGCCATCTGTAACTCCAATTCCAAGGGATCTAACACCCTCTTCAGGCCTCTGAGGGTACCGCATGCTTGTGGTGCACCTATATGTGACTTAACTTTTGGTATGTAAACAAAACAGTCATACGTAGAAAATATAAATTAAAAAAAATTATTTCAATTAAAAATTTTTTTTTTGAAACAGGGTCCCCCTGTAGCCCCAACTGACCAGGCACTCATGTAGACCAGGCTAGCGTCAAACTCACAGAGATCTGTCTCCCTCTGCCTCCCAAGTGCAGGGATTAAAGGTGTGTGTCACCATGCCCAGCATTAAAAATATTTTAAATCAGAAGAGTAGGGGGAAAAAAGCCACAAATCACACTGAGATCTGTGCTCCCCAAGAGCCTTTGAATCGTGGTGTTCTTCTCTCCTGTTACCATGCACATGTCTGGAAATGAGTTTCTCAGTTGCTTTTGAGTTAATTTCTAGTTGCAAATATACCCTGTGGCATGTGGTATGGCTTACCTGATATCTTTTCCCTTACACAGTGATATTTTCCTACTCTTTTGGTTTTCTTACTCTGTTTTGAAAAATTTTGCCAAATTATTAACATTATAGTTTCATTTCAGTATTAAGAAATGCTAGGTCGCCAGTGGTTGTGGGACACGTCTTTAATCCCAGCACTCGAAAGCCAGAGGCAGGCGGATCTCTGTGAGATCAAGGCCAGCCTGGTCTACAATAGTGAGTTCTAGGCCAGCTAGGGCTGCACAAAGACCCTATCTCTCCCTCCCCAAAAAGAAGCTAGGTAAACTTTTGCAACACCTGTCTCCAAATGATATTTCTAAAAGGTAAGATTTCCAAATTGTAGTAAAGAGATCAAACAACAGTCTACATAAATGAACTGAGCACATGGAATCAGTTTTGAGTAAATTGAAACTTTGTTTTAATGCATAGATGTAATAGCCTTAAACATATTTCCTTTCTCTTCTCAGGACGATTTTCCTAGTGCTACTATTTTCCCAATATGCCAGAAATGTTAAATTTCCTCTCCCAATATACAAATCCAAGAAAGGGTGGACTGCATACAAGTTACAGCTTTTCAAAATGTTTCCCGTGAGTAACCAGTATTTCCTCCTGACAATATTATTGCCTTTGTTAATATGTACAGTGTTTAGGTGAAGGAAGCAGACTCTCCTAGAGTGGCAGCGTATGTGATGGTGTCATTGGAGAGCTCATTACCCCTGTCAGCATGGCCTCAGGCTAGATTCCATGTAAGGTTCCTGTTCCAACATTAGATCACATCCTTTATGCAGTGCCACAGAAGGACTATGTGGCTCTGAGATGTGACCCCACGTGATCTCTCTAGGCATGTTACACATTCTTATTTTACTAGCCAGGCTTTGAAAGGATAAAGTTGAATTTCCCTGCATAAGCCTGCTCTTGGTGCAATTCCACTGAAGCCATAGGCCTACAGAGTGCTGATGGGTAGGAAGGATGTGTTGCCTGACATAGCTTCTCCCCTTGACCATTTCAGATAATCCTGGCCATCCTTGTGTCCTGGCTGCTGTGCTTCATCTTCACCGTGACTGATGTCTTCCCTCCTGACAGCACCAAATACGGCTTCTATGCACGTACAGATGCCAGGCAGGGTGTGCTTCTGGTAGCCCCGTGGTTTAAGGTCCCATACCCATGTAAGTATCAGAGCTCTGAGGGCCCATTTGGGAGGGGTTGGAAATAGGCTGAAGGTTCTTCATTATATCTTGAAAAGCCTTCTTAGTCTAATAATGCGTTCTGGCCTGAACTTTTTTTTAAATCTCGTGTATGTGCATTTGTGTTCGTACGTGTAGAAGTCAGAAGACAACCTCAGATATTGGTCCTCACCTTCCACCTTGTTTGAAACACGGTCTCTGTTCATCACCGTGTACACCAGGATAGTTGTCCTGTAAGTGTCCAGGGATTCTCGTCTTCACCTCCCATTTCTCCATAGAAGCACTAGGATTATAGATACACAGTGCTATAAGGATTCTGGGGATTCAAACTCGTGTCCTTATGCTTACATGGCAAGCATTTACTTACTGAGTCCCCTCCCTAGCCCTGTTGCCTGAACATCTTAATGGTCATTTTGATTATTAGAGAATTAGACAGTGAAAAGGGAAGTTTTTGTCCCTAGAGGACAGTCATCCACGCACAGTTACTAAATAGCTCTCTTCTTAGGTTAACTACTTGGCCCTCTGAGCCCTGTCAGGATGTGATAGCCAGGATTTGAGGCAGCTGCAGAGAAAGACAAGCATTAAACTGCTTGGGACCAGAGCTGCCAAAATGAAAAGGCTTGATGAGGAGCGACCTGGAGATTAGCAAGCAAATTGCCATGCCTGGCAGAGTTTATATAATCTTTTAATAGGGGCCATAATCTTTTTAATTTGGTCACAGCTACAAAGGTAAACTGATACTCATAAGCAGCCGGAAGACAGATCTTAAGTTTTTAGTGTTGGGTAACTGTGGTCAGAGGATAGGATCTCCACCCACAGGATCACCTGGAGTGGTAGCATTTTCTAGATCCCAGCTCTGAAACTGACTCACATGAGCCAGTGGTTATTATGGGCTTGGTTATTGTGTTGTAAAGACTGTTCCCAGCTTTGGGGGTTTTTATTAGAATGCTTGAGCTTAGGATGAGCCAATTTATTCCCCTGTTGAGCTGTCTTATTTTCACATTTATAATGACAAGGCAAAAAAGACCCCAAGGAAAGCCAAGAACATTCCGGTTGGTCAAAAATGACTCTGCCGAGCTGAATGCTGATATGTTGGCGGTTACCCCTTCTGTTCCTGATACAGTCACCAAAGTTTAGCCTTTCCAAAATAACATTTTCCTCATCACATGAGGTCTAAGTATATATTTATATATACCTATCCTGTTTCCAGAAAATAATGTGCTTGATTCATAAGCAGATGTATAGTCCAAGATAAAATGGGATTAAAAATCACTTGGTGAGGACAGGGCAGAGGAAGGGACTCAGTGCATGCATGTGGCCTCTGCCTGTACAGCTTCTCTGCCCATACAGCTTTCTTCCTGGGTGATTCCCATTGCAAATACTGAGTGGCTGTTCTCTCTAGGATCAGAGACTTCCCCAGAGGCCTCACAGGGCCCATACATGAGATGGTGTTGCTTAGGGGATAGGGTGCATGGTGTCACCATGGAAGTGAGCCAGCTCATGAGGTTCTCTTCAAAATAGCCCTCAGTTGTCAAGAACAGGTGAATTGCAGCAGTTCCCCTGGGTAAAAAACTACCTCCGAGACAGTGCTGTGTGCTCTCCAAAACTTGGATCAATCCAGAGACAAGAGTTCTGGCGTCAGGACCAGTGGTTCTCAGGCATCAGTAATGGAAGGGTTACCTCGACTGCTATTATGTACAGATTTCTGGTAAAATACACATATCAGCAGTGCCAAAGCTGAAAAAAATCTGTTGTAACAGAAAAAGTTCTACTCAAGCAAGGCAAGCATGTGCATAAAATCCCAGCACTCAGGAGCCTGAGGCAGGAGGATCACAAGTTTGAGACCATGCCCAAAACAAACAAGGAGTTGGAGCAGTGGCTCAGTGGTTATGAGCACTGGCTGTTCTTGCAGAGGACTCAGGTTTAGTGGCAGCTAACAACTGTCTCTTACTCCAGTTCCAGGGGATCTAATGCCCTCTTCTGACCTCTGTGGGCATTGCACACACATGGTGCATTTGTATACGTGCAGGCAAAGCACTCATACACATAAAGTAAATAAAATTATTTGAAAAAAAATTCTAGTTAGGAGAGATTAAAGAAACAGCTTTAAGACAGAGGCTAGAAGTAAAAAAGGAGTGCATTGTGTATATATGTATGCAAAGGGATGAAAGTTATATATAGAGGGATTAAAAATTAAGATTGCAGCTGGACATGGTATTGCATACCTTTAATCCCAGTACTCAGAAGGCAGAGGCAGGTAGATCGTTGTGAGTTCCAGGCCAGTGAGTTCTAAGTCAGCCAGAGCTATGGGGAGATCCTGTCTCAAAACCAAAACAAATTAAACAAAAAATTAAGATCGTAAACTTAAATGTTAATGTAAAAGAATTTTAGAAATCTGAATTAAAGGCTTTAAGTAAAAGGGAGGGGAGAGTAAAGAGACTACAAAAAGTAAAAAGTGTATTTCAGATATATTTGGATTTGAGGATGTGTACATTGTATTCCTAGTACCATGGGGTGGGACCCAAAGCCTAAACATCTGTAGGTAATCTTTTTTTTTTAATACTTTATTTATTATTATTTTATGTGTATGAGTGTATTGCCTGCATGTATGTGAGTGCACCTGTGTCGTGCAATGCCGTGGAGGTCAGAAGAGGGCTTCGGATTCCCCTGGAACTGGAGTTAAGGATGGTTCGTAGCTGATGTGTGAGTGCTGGGAATCGAACCCGAGTCCTCTGCAAGAGCAGTCAGTGCTCTTAACCGCTGAGCCGTCTCTCCAGCCCCACCTGTAGGTAGTTTTATACAGTAGGTTTAGTGCACCTACATTTTGAGTTGAATGTGTCATGTGAGGTCAGGTTTGGAACTTTCCACTTGTGATGTTGTGTGAGTTCTCAAGACAATACCAGATTTTGGAGCATCGTTTGTCAGTTAGGAATGTTCAATTTAAAATGACAAAATAAGAGAGGAATTCCTCCTCAAAGTGAAGACAGTCTCCCTAAAACAAAACCACAATGCTATGGTCTTAACACTGAATAGCCTGAAAGGTTATTTTAAAATCTCCAAATGGAACTTGATAAAGAAGGTTCTTGAACCAATAACTCTGAGAGAAGATATGGGACAAGCGTGTTGCTGGTGGACATAGCCAGTGTCACACTGAATGGGAACATTGTACCACTGACTGCAGCTGCCTTCTCTCTGAGGAAGGTGGCCCCAGGTGGGAGCAGGTTGCCCAGTACATGTTACTTTATGTGTTACCTTTCTTTTCCTAAGTCTGTTCTCCATTATCTGTGACTAGGTCCCTGTAGATAACTTGTCAAGCCCTTCAGTGCCTCACACATCCCCTTTGGCTGAGTACCAGCCCACTCCTATACCACAAACCCTCCCAGCTTTGAAGAGACACCTCCACTCCTACCTCTTCCTCATTTCTTGCCCTGGACAAGTATGGATTTCTTCACTTCTATTTGGCCTGCCTTCATTTGAACTCGAAATATCTCTGTTCCTGGTTCTGTCAGATCGTTCCGTTCTCTGAGCTACCGTGTTGACTCCTGCTCTAGATATGGTGCTTCCTCCATCTCGCTTTTCCCATTGCACTGCTTACTCAGAGTATACTACACCTAAATGTTCAAGGAAGAAGGGCCAGTGGCCAGTGACTTTATCGAAGGAGTCTGCTCCTTCGATACACTTTAAAGAATAAACTATTTAATAAAGAATTAAGTAAATGCAGATGTTTAAATGAGATTACAACGGGACATTTTTGTTTACTTTCTAAAATCAAACTTTCCATCTCATGGTTTATGGCTTGCTTAAAAACAAACCTGGGGCTGGAGAGATGGCTCAGTGGTTAAGAACACTGGTTGTTCTTGAAGAAGACCCAGGTTCGAATCCCAGCACCCACATGGCAGCTAACAACTGTCCATAACTCCAGTCCCAGGGGATCCGACAGCCTCTTCTGACCTCCGCAGGCATTGCATGACACGGGTACACTTACCTATATGCAGGCAATACACATGTACACATAAAATAAAAAATAAATAAAATTTTTTTTTGAAAGTTAAAGAACAAAAACCAAACCTGCTAGTAACATAGTAGTGCTGTCTAGTTCACCTCTGGGATGTAGACTAGCTGTGACTTCACTGCTTTTCATTCAATGCCACTGTTTGTACCTGGATAAGACAGTGTTATAAATCCCTCTCATACACATTTCTATCAAGCCAGGTATGGTGGTTCATGCCTGTAATTCCAGCAGTCAGGAAACTGAGGCAGGGAGATTGCCATGAGTTTGGTTTTGAGACAAGTCTGGGCTACATAGTAAGTACAGGATAGCCAGGGTTGCATGGCAAGGCACTGTCTCAAAACCTACAGTGAACCAAATTTCTGTCCCAGCACAGCAAGCAGTGTTAAGTTGGGATTTAGCAGACTTTGAGAACCGGACTTCGAAGCAGGAAGAGAAGCATTACCTCTTCCATTATGTTTATTTATTTTATGTATATGAACGAATTGCCTGCATGTGTGTAAGTGCAACTGCATCATCTCTCCAGCCCGTCACTTCTTTTTTAAATAAAGGTGTAGAGATCAGCCCTCACTGGGGCCCCAACTCAGCAACATTTCCAGATACTGATGTGTTGATTTAAGATTTAAAAACAGTTTCTAAGAGTTTCAGAATCCTGCGGAGAGCTTGCAGAGTCCCCCGAGGTCTTTCTACCTTTTGCCTGTCCCTAGAGGAAAGCACACATCTTTCACGGTTGTCTCCTTAGTTCAGTGGGGGCTGCCCACCGTTTCTGCAGCTGGAGTCATCGGGATGCTCAGTGCTGTCGTAGCCAGTATCATCGAGTCCATCGGTGACTACTATGCCTGTGCCAGACTCTCCTGTGCCCCACCGCCTCCCATCCATGCAATAAACAGGTACGTGTTTCATTGACCCATTGGTTTAGATAACTATCTCAGAGAAGAAACCAAGAGTTCAGTATGAAGGCAGCCAACAGCAGGACTGATTGGCCGTTTGTTTTTGGCCACATCACTGCCCTCAGGTGCTCTAATTTCCTCATGGATTGCAGAACAGCATCCTACCCTTCCTTTAGTCTCTTCAACTGCCTGGAAGAGGTGAGTGCTTCTCTCCTGCACTTAGTGTGAATCCACTTGACATAGAAAGGTCACCAAAACAAATGCCGGGCATTACCCCTGTTCTTTGCTTGGTCTTGTGCCATTTTGATATATGTCAACTTTGATTTTCTGTTGTCTCATTTTCCCAAGGGTTCCCCCTTTTTCTACATAAACTAAATTTTAGGCTCTTTGGAGTAAACCAGCCTCTTTGTGGTTTACAGGGGATATTTCTGAATTGCAGAAATTCTGGGTTTTTTCCTCCATTCAGTCCTGGTTGCCACAGTCAGACAAATGTCTTGAGGACAGTTTTTCTTGAATCTGTGAAGAAAACTATAGACAGATAAAACCGCTGTAGGTCTGTTAGTGGGTACAGCTTAGCTGTTTTTCAGGGTGATCCTTTCTCAATCATGATTTATAGAACTACACAGAACAAAAAAAGTAAAACTGGCAGGACCTAGTGAACTGTGGCGTTTGCACCTTTGCACCCTCAGAACACTTGGTCCTTAGCTTCCAGGAGTTGGTACAGAATTGATCCTAAGGAGGCTACAGAAAAAGGAGTGGAGAACAGGTGACCACCCCTCCCCCATTACCTGCCTGAAAACGGATCAGGCAGAATGAGATCAATGGACTTCATGGATTCTTTCTGGGAGTTTCTGTCCAGGGTTTTACACATCTTTTTTTTTTTTTGTCTTTTTGAGACAGGGTCTCCCTGTAGCCCCAGCTGGCCTGGAACTCACTATGTAGACCAAGCTGGCCTTGAAATCACAGAGATCCGCCTGCCTCTGCCTCCCAAGTGCTGGGTTTAAAGGCGTGCATCACCATGCCTGGCCACATCTTTCTTTAATGGACATTGCTGCCGAATGTGATGAACTCATTTCAAATTTTAAAAAAGATTCAGTGTTTACAAACTTACAAAGCATTTCTTTAAAATTAAACTGTATTTTAATAGCAAAGAATGAGATTGAGCTGTTTTACTTCAAAGCACAGTTCATGCTTACCTAGATCCCTGAAGTTCTTTGATTTCATTTGAAATGATTTCAGACTACCTGTCCAAAATGCAGCCCCGAGATACCTTTCTCAGAGTTGATGAGCCTGGGGGGATCCTGCTGGCAGGCTCTACTTCAGCAGGGCAGGGAAGAGACCAGAGATTCTGCATACCACCACCACTCCCTGCCCCTTGCCAGGCTCTGTGTATATGTTGCTTGTGGGGTGCAAACATTTAGAGCCCATTTCAGTGTTTCCCCATTGAATGACTGTTTCTCTTTCCTTAATTTCTTTACATTTTAGGGGGATTTTTGTGGAGGGTCTTTCCTGTGTTCTGGATGGCATATTTGGTACCGGGAATGGCTCTACTTCTTCCAGTCCAAACATTGGAGTTTTGGGAATTACAAAGGTAAAAATGTTTTCCTAGATAAATGGCTGGGCTTCTATCCATTTCACTGATGGGACTAACCTGTGAAGGGCCTTCCATCCTGACTGTCTTCCTCCCCCTTTTTTCTTGGATGGGTGTTTGGAATGCCTGTTAGGAGGCTGCTTCTTACTTGGCCACTCTGGGCCCAAGGCACCTGGGTGCGTCATGACTTCCTGCAGTCTGCAGGTGCTGATTGAGCACCTGCTTATGCCAGGTTCCTGTTCTTAAGCACTTGAGGGTATGTGTTGAGTAGGAAAATGGGAGTTTGTATTCTAACAAAGGATTATCCTTAGCACTAAGCAGAACAAGTCAGATGAGAGATGATACCCCTCATTACAGTAATGCAGTTCTTAGACTTCATGGCAGAATTCCCTTTCAGTGAAGCCTGTGGAATCACAATGAAGCAGGGCCTGGATTTTAGTCCTACCCACTTGACCCTACTCAGCATGCTACCTAACCCTAGACATAGGCACATAAGCCTGTGGCTGCCCCACCCCAAAATCCAGCTTCCGTGAGAATAAGTCTGCTTCAGGCCTTTCAACTTTTTATGGACAATTAAACTTTATGTCCCAGTTGCCTTTAGCCAAGTAGTGCTGCTTGCCAGGATGTTGAGGAGCACTGGTTGGACTACCAGCCATTGAATATTGTATAACTAGAGACTGTTAAAACTGGTTCCCCATTCATCATTCTTCTTGACCTGCATGAAGACCTGAGAATTCAGCCCAGAAGCCTAGGCTTGTTTGACCTCACTAACTTCAGGCAAGATTCTATAACCAGATAAAAAGAAACCCACTACTATTTGATTCATCTTTATTTCAAATCCAGGTGAGAGGGAGCAGTGCTCAGATGCAGGGAGCACTCCTAACTTGTTTGTTGATCTTCCTCTACTAGGCAGCGCTGGCCCAAGCTCAATTTCAGGTGTGCCGATGGCACCATCTGCTGCTGGGTGTTTCCAGCACATAGTATGGGTGGGTGGGCCCTTTCATGAGTACTTTCTCCAGTGTCTGGCTGAGGTCCTACAGTAAGCAGCAGATACAGAGCCCAGGGAGCTGAAGGAAGGGTCAAATGGGCACAGAATGCACAGTAACTGGCCACTCCTGAGACTGTTTGCTACCATGGCCTGTGGACATAGAACTGGTTTCAAATAAGATGGTCATAAAGTTGCTGAGAGGAGCTTGTGGAGGAACACAGTTTAACAAGCACCTCCCTGCCTATACCTCTTGAAGATATCTCCTAATAGCTAAGGTCACTGAAGGGAGTAAAACAAAGTGTCTTCTACAGTTTGGCTAAGGTGATTTAGGGACTATTTGATCATTCAGTAGCATCATTTTTTTTCTGAAAAGGTACCTTGCCATCACTTATTTTTTAATTTTGTATGTGTTTATGTGGGGTGTGAATGCAGTACCCACAGGTGCCAAAAGAGAGTGTTGGATTACCTTGGTGCTGAATTATAGGTCTTTATGAATCACCCGAAATGGGTGCTGGGAATTGAACTCCCATCCTCTGGAAGAGCAGTATGTGCTCTTAACTGCTGATCTATCTCTCCAGCCCAATAGCACTTATTAATGAGCTGATTTATATATCCCTAAACCCCTTGGTACCAAGCCTTTGGAACTGTTTCCCCAGGCAAAGGTGGCATCCAGTCAAGGACAGTGTCAGCTCTGGAATGTTTATATTACTCAGAATCACAAGATGTGACCTGGAGAAGAACGATGTTATCAGTTCGTCTGTGTCTGCCTTAGAGCAAGGGAGTGGGACTTGCAACATAAGTGCCTGTGTGCTACAGCCCTGTGGCCGGCCATGGAAGACCCTCTCCCTGGAGAAAGGAGGCACTAGTTCTGCACTGTATTTGACCCCTTATCCTGCTGAATGACAAGACACTTTTATGCACAGCTCCAGAATTCTGCAGATCTGATCCTTGCTGTCTAATACAGTCAGGAGCCATATGTGGTTGTTCATGTTTAAATAAGCTGATGTTAAAAATAACAACAATAAAAAAGTACCAAAGCCAGATGTGGTAGCACACACTTAATCTTGGGCAGTCAGGTGAATCTCTGTGAGGCCAGCTTGATCTACATAGTAAGTTCCAGGACAGCTGGGGCTATAAGTAAGACCCTATCTCAAAAAAGATGGCTCAGTGGTTAAGAGCATTTGCTGCTCTTTCAGACCTAGGTTCAGTTCGCAGCATCCACGTGGCCTCACAACCAACTGTAACTCCAGTTTCAGGGGCTCTAATGCCCTCTTCTGGCCTCCAAGGGCACCAGGAACACATGATATACATACATGTATATGCAGGCAAAACAGTCATACACATTTTTTTTTTTTCAAATTGCTTCCCCAGTCACATGGGACACATCTCAAGGCTCAGTGGTTTGTGGCTTGATGAGTATAGGTAGATCATGCACTTTCATTTTAGCATTCTAAGGGACAGCTGGGCTGAGCCTTTGAACTAGACTCAATGTGAAGGGAGGACAGTCTGTGTCTCCCATAGGTTAGCCTGCGTTTCCTGCAACTCTGCTGTTTGCTGCCTTTTGTTCAGTTGCTGCATTCCCTGGACCTGAAATTGTTAACCTTACCAGAGATGGGTTACCTACCCTTCCTCCTCTGCTGAGTGTGGTCTGGTGTCCATCCTGTAGAGAGGGCAATACAACACAGTGGAGTAGGTGACTGCTCTGGATTCCAGCTCTGGCTCCATTTTCTTTCAACACTGCTGGCCATAGGCTACCTCTTTGGGCTCTATGCCCTTGTCTATAAAGGTAGCTTTGAAGGTCTTGGGATTTACCACTTGATATAAAGCACCCAGCATGGCCTTCTGGCATGTACCCCGTACCAGGTATGGTATATAGATATGATCACTTAGGTTGTTTAGCATTTGACTTAATAGGAGCAGAGTAAATACTGTCTTGAATATAGCACCTCTTAAGTGGGATGTTCAGGGAAGATCTTTTCTCTGTTGCATTCCATGGTATTGAAGACTTAGAAAAAAAGAATATGGTGCTGACTTTTTGATGGTCACAGAGGCAGAGCTATGACAGTTCAGGAAGAAGATCAGAGTAGGTGGAAAGGCACCAGGGGATGGGGAGTGAGAAGAGATATAAAGCTCCTGTATAAGCAAGTAACAGGAGGATGGGGATTTCGGGGAGAAGTACAAGCTGGGCATGGTGATAAATGTTTTTGTCATCCCAGTTCTCAGGAGGCTGAAGCAGGAATATCATGAGCCTGGGCTATATAGTGGGTTCCAGGTCAGCCTGGAACAAGCAAGCAAGCAATCAAACAACTAACTAAAAAGCATATGTAAGCACTTAGGTAATATTTATTAACAAAAGTGACTTAGTTACTAAATGATTTTGATAATGTGAAACACATAATCTTACATGCATATTTTTCATATAAGCCGTATTGTTGCAGGCATCCCTGGGCCAGTGTGGCTACTCTGACCTGGCAGGGCTGTTCAACCCTGCTGGGAATCCTCAGAGAGGCTGTTCTGTCTGATTACCCGCTCTTCTGCCTGGACACTCTTACTCAGCCCTCTAGAACATTTCCATCCCCAACTCGGACTTTTTTCTTCCTTCCTACTGGGCTCCCACATAGCAGATTAGTGCAATTTTATCATAAAGTTATGACTTAACTCATCTTAGAATCCACCTGTCCCCACGTGCTGGTCACACGGTATTTCCTCAGATGTTAGCTGACAAATAAGCTGTTCATAGATGCTAAGCTTCCTTGTCATGTGACTGTGGCCAAGCGTAGGTCCCTTTGCCTGACCCATCAGTTTGTGTACTCTTTGCTGCTGCTTGCCTGCCCTGTGTGGTGTGAGGAAAGGCTAGATTCAGGCAGTGGAGGTTGAAGTATTTTGAAAATGAATTGAGTCCCTTCGCTCAGTCACTGAAAGGTCTGTAATTGTCTAGCTGGGCAGGTGCTCTTTATTCATACAGCTAAAGGTTAGGCTCTGATTCTTTGTTTTTTAAGTCTCTTTACCTGGTTTACATCTTCAGAGGATATCTGGGGGAGGGGGTAAAGAATAGAAGCCAACAACCCAAATTTCTTTTTTCCTCCCTCCCCTGCCCTCCTCCCCTCCTCTGCCCTCCTCTTCTTTCCCTTCTTCTCATTGTATTCGGGGGACATCTCACTATGTGGTCCTGGTTGGCTTGGTGCTCCTTATGTTGCCTAGACTGGCATCAGTCCTCTGCCTCCATCTCCTGAGTGCTAGGAGTAAAGATGTGAGTCACCATGCCCTCCAAAGAAGTGATTTTATTTACCAGTCACCAGAAGATTTAAGTAAGGGACTGACCTTCCCAAATGAATGAATGAATGTTAGAAAGTTTACTTCATGACAGAGACCAAGGGAAGGGCCCACAGGCAGCAAACCAGAAAGGACACAGTCACAGCTCTCTGCTGGCCAGATACCATTCACCTGCTTTAGGTACATGATGTTCTTTAATTCTTAAGGCAAAACCACAGTGTTTATCCATGATAGATTAAGGAGCCTGGGACCCAGTGGGGCTGCATTGCTCAGTCATATAACCAGAGGTTCAGTGGGTTTGGGGACCAGCACCCAGGCTCCACAATGTTGCATTCTTAGGCCCCTACACTGTACCAGTCTTAGAGTAAGACACCACGAGAGGAGGTGCTTCTCAGAGTAGTAAGGAGATGTTTTATCTAACTTTGGGAGATGCAGGGAAGATGGAGTTTGAATCACAAGGATTTCGAGTGGATTGACTTATAAGAAGTCATATGAGGAACCCGGAAGAAAAGCTACTACATCCACAACCCCAACCAAGGAGATTATTCAGCCAACCAAAGGCATTCAGAGGCCACATTCAAACACAAGTAGCAGCATCCAGGGGAGCAATAAACAAAGGCTGATCCCTGGGGCCACCAACCATAGTCAAGAAACAAAGAGTGAGCTGAGGTGGTGGGGAGGGGACTGGAACAATGGCGGTTGGAGGTCCTGAGTTATCTCAGACTATTACAAATAGTAATTTGTAGTAATTAGGTGTTGTGATTAGTCCTTATTAACTGAATACCCAGGGACTCTTGTTTGTCACATTTGCCCTGGGCCCTGGGAGGCTGGGTTGGAGAATGACAAGTCAGCTTATGCTCCATTGATAATGTCCACAGGTCGGCAGCCGCCGAGTGATCCAGTATGGTGCGGCGCTCATGCTGGGCCTGGGCATGGTTGGCAAGTTCAGTGCCCTCTTTGCATCCCTCCCAGACCCTGTGCTTGGAGCCCTCTTCTGCACTCTCTTTGGTAAGATTCTGCTTTCTTGGTAGCAGACTCACCTCTCACCTACCCTTCCTCACATTGGCTAATTATTAACAGGGATCATGATGTTTTGGCCAATAAGATCTGACAATAAATTTAACAATTTCCATTTTAAATTGTAAAAGGTGATATCTTCAAAAACTAAAGACTTGTGTCAGGGCTGAGTTTATGTTAAGAATAGATATAATAAGAAAGCTATGCTATGGAAATAGACAAATTCTAGTCTCTTTAACTAGATAGAATTTCTAATTGATTTTACTCAGATATCTTCACTTGTGAATGAGCCATTTAAACATGACCACTTTAACAAGGGATCTCTGGATTTGATCTCACCATTCGATGCAGTCATTGGGGACATGCACTAGCCATCTAGTGGGTTTCTCAGTTTAATCCAAGAGAGAATCAGGGAGAGCCATCATCTACTCAGTTTAAAGAAAATGTATTGTGATGCTTATGCTAGTGGTCATTTGGATCAGACACAAGGGTGGTCATGGTCTAGCTCCATACCTCCCCCTCTTCTTCTGGCCATTGCACTGGTTTCTAAGCTGATTTCTGATGGGTGGAGGAAAGTACCTCATCCTCTAGGATAACCTGTCACTGTGCAGCAGGTGAACCTAGTGGAACTGTGATCTGCTGTTTTCTCTGCAGGAATGATCACAGCTGTTGGCCTCTCCAACCTGCAGTTTATTGACTTGAATTCTTCCCGGAACCTATTCGTGCTTGGATTTTCAATCTTCTTCGGGCTTGTTCTTCCAAGTTACCTCAGACAGAACCCTCTAGTCACAGGTAAGAGAAGGAGGAATCTTGGTGGGGCCATTGGAGTTCGAACCACTTTTAAAAAAAAAAACTCTTCTAGTGGGGAAGGATCTTGGAATCCCAACTGTGTGCTGGTGAGCCTTTGCCTGTCTCCTTTCTGAGTCTCACTGGATTTCTCAGGAAGCCCCTGGGGCCTCCCACAGACCCAGCACGAGCCTCCACACTGCCTCCGTTGTGTCTACAGGTTGGCGGCCACATGAGATGCAGGTGCCAAGGGTGCCTTTCCTTTGGTTTCTCCTTTTGGTTTCTCAGACCATTGCTATTGAAAAAACATTTTTTATTTGTTTTAATTTTATATGTATGAGTGTTCTGCCTACATGTATGTAAGTGCACCTATGTGTGCAGTGCCTGAGGATGTCAGAAGAGGGCGTCATATCCCCTAAAACTAGAGTTATGAATGGTTGTTAGCTACCATGACTATTGCCATATTGTCATAATTTCTTAAAACTTAGTTTTTTAGACTTAAATAAAAATAAGTTTTTAAATTTTCAGTTCAAGAATACTTACTTAGCTCTTATTTTTTATTTTAATAAAACACTGGTGTTATGGACAGAATGACAGAAGAAACTGCTTAAGAAATATCTGTTGTTGTGGAGCTTGGTGGCATACTCCTTTAATCCTAGCACTTCGGGGGCAGAGGCAGGTGGATCTCTTGAGTTCAAGGCCAGCCTGGTCTATATAGTTAGTTTCAGGCCAGCTGGGGCTACAGGGAGACCCTGTCTCAAAAAGAAAAGAAAAAAAAAAAAAGAAATTGCTCTGAACCACTGAGCCATCTCTCCAGCCCCCAAAGTGACATTCTTATAGCAGGGCATAGTGGTGCACATCTGTAATCCTAGTACTAAGGCAGGAAGAGTGCCACAAATTTGATGCTAGCTGAGGCAACTCAGTGAATCCCAGGCCAGCCTAGAGTACAGAGTGAGGCCTTGCCCTCCATACCATTTCCCCTCAAAAGGTATTCACAGCCCAGCGTGGTGGTGCACACTTTAAATCCTAGCACTAGGCAGAGGCAGGCAAATCTCTTGAGATGGTGGCCAGGCCGGCTGGGGCTACAGAGAGAGAGACCCTGTCTTAAAACAAAAGCATTCAGGGTTGAGCATGGTGGCACAGGCCTTCGATCCCAGCGTTCACAATGCTTCCCGTCTGTTTCCTGGTCCAGGTTATACCCAGTACCTCCACAGTTCATTTAGGTTGACAGTCACTTTATTATATTCAGCTTCTATGTACCATTGTTAAGAACTTCTGTTATGGGGCTGGAGAGATGGCTCAGCGGTTAAGAGCACTGACTGCTCTTGCAGAGGACCTGGATTGGATTCCCAGCACCCACATGGCAGCTACGAACCGTCCTTAACTCCAATTCTGGGGGAATCTGACACCCTCTTCTGACCTCCAAGGCATTGCATGACACGGGTGCGCTCACATACATGCAGGCAATGCACTCGTACACATAAGATAAAAATAATAAATAAAATTTCTCTTATGGAAGTATCTTTGGATTATTGTTGAATGTATGCATAGTAGTTTTAAAACATTACTGACAGAAAATTACCTACACATATACAACTGAGAACTTTATACTTTCAAGGTACTGTATTGATTGCCAGAATTGTATCCATCCTACTACCCTTTTCTGAGTCAAGGATGGGCCTGCCTTGGCTACACTGATGACCCTTAATGGTGGTTCTGTTCTGTGCCCAGGTATATCAGGAATCGATCAAGTACTGAACGTCCTTCTCACAACTGCTATGTTTGTAGGAGGCTGTGTAGCTTTTATTTTAGACAACACCATCCCAGGTATGTAATATATATCAATCATGCTTATTATATGTGTGTGTTACTTTGGAAGGAAGAGCAGCAGAATCTCACTGTGGAGCCCAAGCTGGACTCAAACTCAAGTCATCCTCCCTCAGCCTTCCAAGAGCTGGTATTACAGGCATATACTACTGTATTGGGTATGTGTTACTTTCTGCTAAACAAAAATGAAAACCATAAGCACTCAGTGACCTATACCTAGAAGTACCAGCTAGCTAGCTACTCAGGAGGCTGAGGCAGGAGGACTCCTTGAGCCCAGGAATTTGACAAGGCCAACCTAGACAGCATGGTGAGACCCTGTTTTGGGGTTAAGGGTGGGAGTAAATCAGTTCAAAACTCTCATTGGTTAAACTTGTCTTCTAAAGCTAGCTGGGTGTGGTGGCACACACCTTTAATCCTTTGAGATTAAAGTGGTAACTCAAGAATCAGGCAGGTGGATCTGTGAGATGGAGGCCAGCATCACCTACATTGTGTTCTGGGCCACCTGGGGCTACAGGGAGATCCTGTTTTCAAAACAACAAAAAAACATAAAGTAGTTGAACTGGCACGCCATGTATAATAAGCTGGATGACTTTGGTTCTCTTACTGAATCACTAGTAGAGACAGCAGAGCACTCCTGTGTGTCAGGAGAAGGCAGAGGGCTGCCTCAGGAACACCCTAGGCTCCTGCCTCCCTTCTCAGCATGTGCCTGGGCCCTGCAATGTGGTTTTCCTGGACTCATTCACACAGTCCTGAGCTGCTGGTAACCTATGGCACTTCTTCCTATAAACGCTGTCCTTTAAATGAGTCATTCATAAGGTGAGTGTTTCCAGCTGACTGACTAGAGGAACGTGGACAAAGATTGAGATCAGCAAAGCCATGGAGACACATGGAGGTGGTTGTCCCTCTAGGACCTGGAACCTTTACCCTTCTTTTAAAAAAATATTATATAATCATAGCCAGGCATGGTAGTGTATGCCTTTAATCCCAGCACTTGGGAGGCAGAAGCAAGCAAATCTCTGTGAGTTTGAGGCCATCCTGGTCTACATAGTAAGTTCTAGACCAGCTGGGGCTACAGGGAGAGCCTGTCTCAAAAAGAAAAAAAAATTATATAAGCATAAAGAAAACCTTTTGTATATGTGTTACGGTGTCTACAGAGGCCAGAGAGGGTGTCAGATCCCCTGCAGCTGGAGTTAACAGGCAATTGTGAACCACCCAGCATGGGTCCTGGGTACCGAACTGGGGTCCTCTAGAAGAGCAGCAAGTGCTCAGTCACTGAGCCACCTTTCCAGTACCTCCTATAATCCTTCTTGATAAGTGCATTCTATGATTGCTGATGATGGATGAGGCTGGGGTGTGGCCCCACCTTGGAGCCTTCTCAGTCTCTTAGGGATGGCTACTGTACCACTTTAAAAATGCTGCTTTCAAGGAAGGGCGATGCAGTTCCATCTGCGTGGTATGTCTACCATCTGCTCTCCTGTAGTCTTGTAATTGGGGCAGTTTAGTGGTGGGTTGTTTTAAGGGTAAAATCTCAAAACCTTCAAGCTTGAAAACAAGACCAATGCATCTTCTACTCCCCCACACTAAACTGGAGCAAAGCAATGTGATGCTGAGGACATACAGGCATCATGAAGTCACTCGGATGTGGAAAAAGAGGGACAAGGAGGGGGTTGCAGTTCTTGGGCTTCTCACCTGGAGAGCCAAGCACCTTCTACTTCTCTGGTACTCTGTGCTGCTCCTGGGCAAGTCTGGTTTCTGGAGCAGGGTTTGTGTATGTGTGACTTTATCTTACTACATAATTCCATGTATATATGGAATGAGTCTCATTCCTAAGATAATTAAGCATTCTTTTTTTTGTGTGTTTGTGAGACAGGTACTCCAGAGGAAAGAGGAATCAGAAAATGGAAGAAGGGTGTGAGCAAAGGGAGCAAGTCCCTTGACGGCATGGAATCCTACAATTTGCCATTTGGCATGAACATTATTAAAAAATACAGATGCTTCAGCTACCTACCCATCAGCCCAACCTTTGTGGGCTATACATGGAAAGGCTTTGGGAAGAATGAGAGCAGCCGGAGTTCAGATGAGGACTCTCAGCCCACAGTATAGCCTTTGTTGTGCCCTGTGGCCTGGCCGCAGTGAGGCATGTATCTGTAGTTCCTTGCTGAGTAACAAGAGGAAGATAAATGTTTGTATATCCACTTTGGCATCCTGTACCCCAGAGCTAAGACGGGTTGCACATCGCTCTTCTGTTGTGAGTGGTGATTGTGTCTAATATGGTGTCTCACCTGTCTCCTTATTTAAGCCCTTGATCCTTTGTCCTTTGAGTGTCCATTGCTGGTCATGGTCACTGAACTTGAAATTATAGTCATCCCATGGGAGTAGATGTTTGAAATCTATAGTGTCCTTCTTCAGTGCCCTCTGTCACCTAGTGCTAGCTTTCCTACAAGCCACGAGTTCAGGGGCCTCTGCGTCTTATGCATCATGACTTTCACTTGACTTCACCCTGAGCCTTCAGAGGAGCCACCAGTATCCTCTCCCTGGTCCAGTGTGATTCTGTTGTCCCTGATACTCAGGAGGCTACTGACCTAACTGGAAATGACGGCATGGCTGCCCTGTGCCCAGGTATGGCACACATCAGGTCTGAGTGAATGGAAGGAGAATGGAAAGGCCCTTGAGTCAACACAATTCTCAACTGCTCTTTCTGCCCACCACCCTGGCCCCTCTAGGCCAGCACTGTTCATACTAGTGTCTTTTGCTGGCTGAGACACCCTGTTTGGCATTTCTCACTATTGGCTAGTATGACGGGTATAGAGTGTCCACAGATAAGTCTATGGGCGTCTTGGCTCTGCTGTCTTGTGGATGTTACTGTTGCGCGTGTCTGTAATTAGGAGGTTTTATTCCTGTTTAATGTTACTGACTATAGCAGATTTCTGAAATCAGTGTTTTTCCATGTGACCTTCTAAACTTGCATCCCTATTCCTTATCCCTTCCCCCCTCTTCCTATTAAGAAAAGAACCAGCATCTGTAAAGCTGTGGACACCATCAGGGAAGCTTGTTGTAATGGCTGTTGAAGGCCAGTGACCATTGTTGTGGTTGTGTTTTGTACTGCTTGATACCATGGAAGTGTAAATACTTTAATGTCTAATCTATTTATCAAAACTGACTGCTGGACCAGAGCCCAGAAACCATGGGTCAGTTACATGTGAATTTGTTTTGTGATGAGGGGGAGCCGGGACAGTAACACATCGCCACCATATTGAATGTGCCACCATCTGGATAGTCATTCCTTCCGTCGCAGGTTCTTTCTGGCAGATCTGGCTTCATGAGACCTTATGTGGGGTGTCAGGTTACCCTGGATCATGATTTTTGTTGAAGGGAAGATTAGATCCCTTAGCCAAACACTGCCTGTTTAATTTGTTGCAGAAGATACCAGGAAAATCAGCTAGCAAGTGCCCTCTGTTAAGAGTTCTACTTTAGAACACTAAATTCTCTCTGACAAGTGACTTCTTTTGACTTTGGCTTGGTTTTTCAAGCCAAGGAAAAAGCCTAAGACATAGTAGTGACCTTGCTTCATGAGATTATACCTCTTCAGTGACCATGGACCTGGCTGAACTTTGGATGTTAGTGGGCATTCCTTCCTCCCACAGCAGAGTGTGGCCGTCAGCCCAGCACAGTGTGCATTTCTGTGCTGTAGCCCCAGGCCGACTCCATATCACCATGTTCCAGATCTCTGGTAGTATCTCCACTACCCCTTTGACTCAAGTTTTGGGTTTCAAGAACACCCTAGAGCCACTTCATTGCTTTGCCAAAATCTTATTCCACATAAATTACGTTTGGTCTTTTTTTCTGTTTTCTAAATGTATATTCAGAACATTTTCTTTAGAAGCATGCTGGTGAATTGTTTCTGTCCCTTCTGCGTTGGCAAGCCTAGCAGCTCTCCCACCCTACATTGCATTCAGTTGCGTCTATTTTTATTGTGCTCAGTGTCTCCCATTTCACTACTCTGAAAAGTGGGGTTAACTGGTAAATGCCTCAGAGATCCACAGTATTCTAGGTACTCTATGGTGAGCAGGAGCAAGTATCCAATAGAAACAAAACCATTAAGATTCCGGCCCAAGATCCCTTCAGCTTAACCTGATGTTTGTGCCCCTGGTGAGGTCCACCTAATGTGCACCTCAGGGCAGAAGCCCTCTCCCTTTGGAGCCAGATTTGGCCAGATATTGCTGTGATTTCTTCTGTTAGTCTGAGGCATGGCTTCAGTAGGCATTTACTTGGCAAAGGAAGTCCTGTGCCAACACCTCCCTTTGGAAACAGTATTCCCACCCCTCTTGCTCCATCGGTGCCAACTTTTGCTAGTCTGTTTAAGGGGAAGGAAGGGGACAGGAGGAAAGAGCAGTGTAACCAGATGCTGGCATGGAGCTGAGTACTTTCTGCACCACCTTTAGTGTCTGGCATTCACTAGTCATTAGTCAGACTTGCCTATACAGCACATACACACACTGTTTAGGAAGTAGTCCTGCAGCAGATGTGCCACAGCATGGAAGTCTGTCACAAAAAGGGTGTGTATTTATGTGCTTGAGTCCCAGCACACACCTGAAGTGGGGAGGTTGAGGGAGACATAGTAACCACTCATGGTCTGTGCCTGATACTCTTCTGTTCAGGTTGTTGGCCTGCAGTGCAGGGGCTGTTGACTGCGTGCTCTATTTGCCAATGGACTGTTATAAAATATTTTGGATAAGGGCTGCTTTTGCAGAGAATCTGAGTTTAGTTCCCAACAACCATCCCTAACTTCAGTTCCAGGGAATCTGACAACAACTTCTTTGTGGGCATTGCACAATGCAGGTGCACATACATCCATGCAGGCCAAACACTCATACATATAAAATAAAAGTAAATAAAATTTTTTAAAAAATTGGGCTAGGCATGGTGGCACATGCCACCCAACACTCTGCTGAGGCAGAGGCAGAGGCAGGCCTGGTCTATATAGCAAGTTCCAGGCCAGCTCAGGCTACAGGAAGACCCTGTCTCAAAAAGGAAAAAAAAAGTGAATGTACTTGCAGGACATTCCATCTCTTGTTTTCACATGGGCTACCTGTTTACCACCTTCACCTTGAAAGCAAGCATTGGTGTGAGCCACAGAAAGAACATGTGAAAAACGACAGAAGGTTCTCTGTGGATGAGAGTCCACTCAGACTCAGAAAGTAATGGGAAATGGCACCAGTCTCTGTCAGTGATGGTCATTCTCATTGTCAGGTTAAACTTGGCTTCATTGGTACAGTTAGCATCAGAATCCTTCAGGAGGTTTCTAACTTTTAGTTTCCTGGGATTGGTCCAGGCAAGGGGAGTGGCTTTGCCAGGCCGGCTGGAATGAAGTATTGTGAGTCCTGCTTGTTTCCCATTTTCATGATAACAAATTCACATGCAGGATTTACTTTATACTGTAGAATACTGACTTTCATGATGACAGCTTGATTTATGCATGAGTATTGCAGTATATCCATATAGTAAAATAACATTTCTTTCCAGGATAATAGTCACAGTTTTCCAGGGAGGGAATGATAGAATTTTCATGACAATGTCATGTGCTAATAGAATTTCTCCATTGATGAATCTCTAGTATGTGTGGATATTTCATTTACCCATATGTATATTTTATGACTGATCTAAGCTCTTAATTCTTTCATGTTCCTACTGAGATATTGATATTAGCAACTTAGACTTCAAGCTGGTGAGTTCAATCTCATGTCTTACTAATACTGCAGAAGCGAACAAGGAGCGATGGTGAAAACCTCATTCTAGAACTCCTGGCTGGGAGAGAGGCAGCCTCCTTCAGGTGACTGCTCGGGCTGTATGTACATTTGACTGCCTGTACCAGGCTTGATGTGGTTGGAATGAGGGCCTACTTGCCCAGCTAGCAGAAGTGACCTGGGTCTCCTTAGATTTAGACACAGAGAATAGGACATTTCCTGCCTCCCATTCCTTGTGCAGTTAGAATCCCAATCGTGCAAGAAGGCTCCCCCTTTTTCTGGCCAGCATTCAGCTTCCATTCAGGGATTCCCCACAGCACGTTGGTGCCGGGGATCTCTTTCTTCAGCAGCCTCACAGATATTCCCATCCCTCCAGGACATTGACTGCCTCATGATCACTTCAACTTCCAGCATCTTTGGGTTGCTGTATGTTTCCTGGTGTGTAGGACACGAGCATACCAGTGTTGCCACCTGACAGTTCAGTGAATATCCTTTTCTGTTCGTTCTTAACAACTTTTGTTCAACACATCATAAATTTCTGAGTGTTCATAAAACAGTGGTGATGTCTCTATTTTCTTTGAGTTCTGTGACTGACTTTGCCTATATATCTTTATGTTTTTTTTTTATGCATACTGAGGGTATTTGGGTGGGTTTGTTTTTTGAGATGTGTAATTCTTTTATGGAGTTTTTAAAAAGAATTTTCATATTGTTTTTCTAACATGGCTTCATTAAACGTTTAAGTATTTTAAAAATATGTAATATTTGGACCAGATGTTGTGAATAATAGTAGAGATAAAGCTATTTTATTCTGTATTTTTGAAACTGTTCCGTACAAATAAAAACTCCTGGATGCAGTTTTGCTGTTTCCATTACTCCTCCTTTGGCTAGTCTTTAAGAACATGGTAGTTCATTTAAAGCCATCACATAAGGGGAAAGAAATTGCATAGTAAGGAATTAAGTTTAAAAAGTTGACAAGTGCCCTTCTCAGAGCTTGGAAGACTTAACACTGAAAGCTGGAGGGAGAGTACAGTTCACCGTTCCCAAGAGCCAGTGATGTGATGCAGGTAGGATTCTTGGGAGGATGTGGAGGGGCAGTTGTCAGAGGTGTCGGTCATGATGGATATCAATCTCACAGGATTCGATTTTGATGGGTTTGGGGATGGGTAGAGATGGGCTTTCAAATCCACAGTATCCACATCTGGAGGTTGTGAATGGCAGAAAATGCTCCTGAGAGGGACCAGGCCCCATTCAGCCAGTGATGGGCTGGGGAAGGATGAAGGTGGACCTAGAGGTGCTGGGTGTATTCTTCAACCTGGAGCAAACTTAGAATGACCCAATCTCCATCCTCCATCCTTGACTCTTCTCTCGTAGTTTGGGATGTTAAGTGGCCCTACACTGCTGTGTAGGCTGTGCAGCCTGATGCTGCCATTCTCAATCCAAGTTATGTCAGAGGTT